AATGATGTAAACCAGTGTTTTAATATATAGATTGGGCATACAGACTTTGCAGATAAAAAAAAAAAAACAAAGAGTAGTAACTTAGAGACATATAGTAAGTATCAGGGCAGGGCAAAGTCTGTTATCGGGGATATTTTCCTCTAAGTCTGGCTATGGACTTCTTATGCCCTGTAAAAATAGGACTTTCCAGGTTTTGTTAGTTTATTGAGCTTGTTTTTTTTTTTAATTTTTTTTATTTGAGCTTCAATGTAAGCGTAACATGTAACAACTGTACTTATTTTCCTGGCTATCAAAATGGCCAGATGGGCACCTCAGTTCTTCATGAGTCTGTTCACCTTTATTTTAGCAGCAAACAAAAGGGTAAGGTGAGTCCCATCTTCTCAGTGAGGCCTAGTGTGTTCAGTCTGATTGTTCCTTGTTTAAAGATGTACTTAGGTAAGAGGATGCCCTGGAAATATAGATATATCCCCCTCTGTCTCTCTCTCTCTTTTTTTTCCCTGACTGTGGTGGAAAGCATGCCAGATTTCCCTTCAACAAAAAGAAGAATCTGAAAGGAAGATCCAGAGGTCACTATCCAGGGCCATGTTTTCTCTCTGGCCGAGAAGTTTCACCCAGCTCTTTGCTTTCCTTTCAGGAAAGTGAGATTATGGTGACAGGTTCTGCTGAATCAGTTTGACTTGACAGTCCCACACCAGCCGTTCCTACGTCCTTAAAATGACCTTCAAAGTTTATTTTCCCAAATAGTTACCAAAGGTTGCCTTTGTCTTGTAATGAGATTTACCTAGACTAGATTCTCTTGTCTTGTGTCTCTGTTTGGCTAGCAAAGTGTTCCGTAAAGTGTGTGTGTTGGGGGGAGGGACATTTTTTGGTTTCTGGTACAGGCTAAGGGGTGCATTGACCAGAAGCCCCCTAAAACTTCAAGTAAGAGCATTGCTGTTCTGGGGTAATGCATTTTCAGGAACATTTTTTCACTGGTAGGAACTAGAGTTTAGCTGATGCCATAGTTTTATCTCTAATTACTTTAGATGAGAAATTTCTATGAAGTGAAATGAAATATAGCAGTTGCACTTTAAATTTATTCTTCTTTTATTTTTCCTTCAGTGGGTTTAATATAAACTAAGCATTCACTATTCTCCCGCAGTAGTTAGATCCATGTTTGTACTGAGTTAAAATTCATAAATAAGTACCTTTTTTTTTTAAAAAAAAGATGATTTTTTATTTAAGGTCACATTATAAACTAGGAATAAATTTTGCCTTCTTCAAGGAAACAACTTGTATTCATTTAACTTTTACAAGTATAAGCAATTCTTAGACTTCAGTAGATTTCTATAGGGGTGATTATAATATAGTTCTATAGTGTATTATAATGCACTTATTACCTGAGATGAAAGCAAAAAAGATCTGTAAAGGGCTTATCACTATAATAAACAACTTGGGAAGCTGTAAGACTTGGCTGTAAACCATCAGGAACTGTGGTTATTTCTATGGCAGGAGCAGAGGAGAGCCTCTAGCTCACTCAGCTCTTCGCTCTCTTCCCTACCATTTCCAATTTTATACTTGATGTCCCCAAAAAAGAGAATGGTAGAATAGCTCCTGTCCTGGTTACCTCTCCCTCCTGTGCATAAGACCATAAACCACAAGTAAAAGTTAAGCTTCAGAGCTGTGAGAGAGCAGGGATCACTCAGTCCGGCAGTCTTGGTGTGTGGCATTAGAGGTGAAAAGACACACAGCTACGGGGGAGCAAAGCCTCAAACTCCATATTGCATGTACTCGCTTTTCCTCATTGGTTCATGCTTTTGTTGAGTACATGCAATTTGCCAGCAACCAATGGAGATGCAAATATGAGTAAAAGCTGGCCCATGCATCCAAGGAGCTAATCGTGTTGAATGGAAGAATCGCACGCACAGACGTGGGCAGAGTAGTACACTGAGTCCTGTCACGCAGGTTCGTATCAGGGTCACTGGTGGCAAGATAAGGATCTGCTCTACTGATGGGAGGGTCGGGGTCACGCAAATCAGTCCAGACCATCTTCATAGAGAACAGATTTCTTAGGCTGTGCACAGACGATGCTAATGGGTAAGATAAAGAGAAGATATTTTTCTTGTTACAATTTTTTTCTATTTCTTTCTAACCATTTCTATCAAAGAGAGCAGCATCTGAAAGGGTATGATGTGCTACTATAAGTCAATATTAGAAAATCCTGCATACCATGATCTTCATGGTAATCCAATATTTTCTATTGTTTTCTTCATAAGCCTGAACCTGGGTGTGTGTGTGTGTGTGTGTGTGTGTATTGCACTCCCTACCTTCACAATGTCACTCATCTGTCTCTTGATTTTGATTTTTCTGGGTATCACTAACCCAGGCTCTTATTTAGCTGTCCTAATACTTTTGCTATAGTTATCTAAATCTTTTTCTTCATCCAATACTACCATCTAATTAGTATTTATAAAATTTTAACAAGGTTTTCTTTTATTTGTCTTTTTTAAAAAAAAGATTTATTTATGTATGCACAACTGGGATATAGGCCAGAGGTCCTTGGACAGTGAGAAGATTCACCAGAGACAGATTGGGGAGCAGAACAGGTTGACAGATGAAGTACACTACTGAGGGGAGCAGCAGGCAGGTCAGGAGAGGTCTGCCATGCCATGTGGATCGCCTCTGGGGTGAGGATGGCGCTCATGCTGAAGTTGCTTTTAGCTACTTAGTGCTGGTGCTTTAACCTGCTGTGCCACCAGGGAGGGCCCTATTTGTCTTTTTAGTGAGTGCACTAAAAACATTTTTGCATACAAAAGAATATATTCAGTGAAATGTCATTCTTCCATCCTTGTGCCCTGCTCATCCAGCTCCCTTCTTCCATGGCAACCGGTATTACTTGTTTATATTGTATCGTTCCAGAGAGACTTTCTGAATGTACACATTAGAATTTTCGTTTTCTTACTGTTATACAGAAAATGGAAGATAAAAGCCATCCTGTCCTTTGCTCAATTTCGCTGAGCAGTATAGACTGGGGAATCTTTACATTGTCACCCGTGTACTTCTTCACTCTCAGCTTGGCTGCACTGACCCCTGTGTAAGGAGGTGTGTAGGCTAGTCAACTGTGTCTAGTTGACAGACGTGTGTGTTGTTCAGAATCTGTGTCTAATGAATGTGTACTGACACTTCTTTATATAATTGCTTACCTTTTAAAAACACTTCAGATGTTCACAAAGGAAATTCTGTATTTTGGCATGCAAAATTTTCTTGAATCAGAGCCCAAAAAGCTATATAATTTTACTGTGGGTAAATAGCTAAATGAACTTTCTCTTTTTGCCCAATGATTAAATTAAAGTTCTTTTCAAAAAAAAAGAAAGAAAGAAAGAAAGAACAAGCTCTTTAATTCTGTCTTCTATACTTCCCAAATGAACGTCTTTAACTCCCACTGATAAAGTTGTTTTCTAAATGGCCTTTTGCTGTTTATAGTCTCTCAGCCTAAGTCCCCACCTCCCAGCTTTGACTTTGGAATTTATGTCTGTTCTGGATTCATCCTGACTTCTACTTTCTCTCTTTATCTTTGTACATTTTCTCAATTTTTAGTGGTATCTTTCACTTAAAAACTGGAGCCCTTTCTGAAACACCACTCTGTTGACATAGCAGGTGTGTGCATGAAAATTCTGTCTTTTTCTTTTTAAATGTGTGGATGCCCTTTTTTTCCCCATCAGCAAGGTTATTACTTATGGAAGGATCTCTTTTAGTGTTTTATATATTAAAACATTATTTTAAACATTATTTTTAATAATGTATTTCACATTATTTTTTAAATAATATATTCACATTATTTTTAATAATGTATTTCACAGCACTCAAAATTACCCAAAATAATCCCTTCCCTATACATACCTTTTTACTTATTTTCCTTAACTATTCATCCCCTCTGTCTGCATGGGTTGGTCCTGGGATGAATGATGACCTGACTTTGCATTTCTGATTCTTCCTTAACCTTTTCAGCTCCGGCTTCTCTTCTTAGGCAGATGGACCCAGCCTGAGGCTCCATGTGTGCCAACATTTCTTGTTTCCATGACAACATAACTGCCATCTATTCCAATAGATTGTGCCAGTTCTGTTTTCTAAGTTGAGGTTCCCTGACCCCAGTGACATCTTTGTGCCAGAAGCCTTTCTAGGTCATCTCTTCCAAGTCCCTAGTCATTGTAACATCTGGGACTAATAATGACAGTGGCTTTATCAAGAGCTTCCTGTACACCAGACATGATTTAGGTATGCTATTGCAGCATCTCACTGACTCCTCCAAGCTGATGGGGACACTGCCCGCAGTGTATTGACCACATTCCACTTCTTACTGTTCAATACATAAGTTATATTTATGACCCTTCATTGTCACATGTACCTGCTGTCGACGTGTGGGTTAAGTGGCCAGTACTTGTTGATTCCGAAGAGGCACATGCTGCTTGGTCTCTCATGGTGTACATGAGGTTGTACAGTCAGGCGTTGCTCAGTGGCAGGGTACACGCTGAAGGACATATTTTTGGGTGATTTTATTGTAAGAACGGCAGAAGATACTCTCCCAAGCCCAGATAGTGCAGCCTTCTGCATACCTAGCTCATACAGGGATCACCAGAGTGTAGCTGAGCTCACTGACCCCAAATATTGTTATGTGGCTGGTGACTTTTAAGTCGTTTTAACTTTTTTCTAAAAAGACAGAGGCCGAGAGGCAGTGCTGCACATATGTGTTCTGCAGAAAGGATTTTTAGGTTACTTAATTTCTGGATTTTACACACTTGTGCTATTTTCCTTAAACCATAAATGATACTTTTATGCCCCTTCGATCCTCCAGCAGACTGTAAACTCCTCATGCAGGACCTTATTCCACAAACCCTGAGCTTTCTAGTTGTTAACAAAATTATTAATATAAATTTTCCCACATAGATTGCTTCAGATCATTAGTTGGATTAATTAATTTTGTATTAACTTCTGCCTTCCTTTTTTCTTTTCTCATTTTTCAGGAAATCATTTGCCAGAAGAATACTGTGAGTATTTTACAGGAATTTTTAAATCTTTTTCATCCACTAATCAGGTATTTTAAAATCTACACAAATTAATTTTTGTATATGATTTTTCCTTGTTTAATATATCTAAAATATCAATATGACAATATGACTGGTATATCTAAGTATTAGTTTACAGTAGAATGTTATAAAACTGAGAATTTACATTAATATTTTTTTTCCTAGATATGTGAAATTGTTTTGGAAAAAAATTAATTTTATATCCTGTGTTGTGGAATTATGGCCCTAAAGCAATATCTGTACACACAGACACATGCATATGTGTACACATGTACATATATGTGAGCACAGATATTTCTGTATAAGCTCTATACACATACTTACACAGACACCTGCACACATATTTACACACATGTGTATATGTATATGCATATGCATGTTCTCCTGTCACCTACTCAGAGAGAATGATTTAAGTTTTTAGGCCGCCTTTGGGATAGCGACACAGAATTCTTACCCTCTACATAAAATTAAACAAAAGTTAAAAAGTAATCAAAATAAATTTTAAAAATGCATGAGGAAAAAGTATACAGTGGACTCAGCCTTCTTATGCCAGTGGAGATTTTATTTCTTTTTAATTTTTGAAAGTCAGAATTTAAAACTGTAAATGATGTATCCAAAAAGGAACACTTTTAACATTGGTGGGAATGTAAACTGGTTCAGCCCTATGGAAACCAGTTTGGTGATTTCTCAAAATATTAATAAAAGATCTACCATATGATCCAGCAATTCTACTTCTAGGAATCTACCTGAAGAATGTGAAACACTAATTCAAAAGGCTCTGTGCATTCCTATATTCATCACCATACCCAAGATATAGGAGCACCTTCAGCACCCAAGGATAAATGAGAGTGTATGAAGAAGAAATAGGAGATTTACATGATGAAAATACTGTTCACTATATTTACAAAAATGAATTATTGTCATTTGCAGCATCATGGCTGGAACTAGAATGGATTATGCTAAGAAGGGAAAGTCAGAAGGAGAAAGACAAATACTGGATGGCATTACTCATGTGGAGTATAGAGAAAAATAACTAAGGGTCAGACAAAACCAAACCAAAAACTTTAGAAATCTGGCTGCACAATGGAAGTTACTAGAGGGGAAGGAGGAGAGTAGAGGGCAAAGAGGGGAGACGGCTGGGCTATTATGCAGGACTGTGGGTGCTTTGGTAGAGGTGTGGTGTGGTAGCATACACCTGAAGGATGTGATTTTTACCTCTGATCATATACAGTGTTGTAAACCCATGCTACCTACAAAAAAGGCTAAGTTAAAAGTGTTACAGCAATTTCCCAAGGAAATCAGATGGCACTCAGAGAGGTAGAGAGAGAGAGATGTACTTATCAAACAGGCTAAGGACTTAGTGAGATCAGTCACAAAAGGCTGAGCCCAAAATTACAGGATAGGAATGTCAGGTTTTATACAGTTTGTGTGAGCAAACTTGTCATCACACCCATCATAGCATAAGCTTTATTGTTTGGGAGGTTGGTCAAGGGCCTTTGCTACTACTGTGGACAAGCATCACTGCAGGGACTTTCTGCTCCAGCAAACAGCAGAATCCAAGCAACAAACTCCCCCAAGCAGCAGGCCTGGGAAAGTAGCAGAATCTTAACAGACTTGGGAAACTTCTTGCTTTAAAAGTATCTCTGCAACTTAGAGTGGAAATCACATAGTACATAAAAATCTGTGCATCATTGGATAAGTGTAAAAGGAGAATTGGTAGCTTTTCCATAGATCAGATATGTTATAAACCTGGTATTGAGATTTCACCAAGTGAGAGACTGATTGCAGTACATATAACATTGCCATTGTGAACTCTTATTCTTCACATCTCAGCAGGAAAAGAGCCGTTACAGCTTCATGCATCAGTTCAGCCTAACAGATAGGAAAACAGTGAAATTACAAATTAACAAAAGGCATGATGGTCACTGCCTATTTAGCAGTGTATTGAGTAGTCATGGAAGGTCTTTCAGGGCAGGTAGCAGTTACCTGAGACCTAAATGGCATGTAAGAGCCCAAAGGTGGTTTGGACTTCTGCATGGTTCATGAAAGCACTGAATAATGCATGTTATAAACAAATTACCCATTGATGTGAATAATGTGTCCTTAATAAAAGGAGGGTATTGGAGGGTATGTTACACCTTTATGTAATTTTCTAAAGTAAAACACATAATCAGCGTGATCAAAAAAAATTACAGTGAAGATAATTAGATTAAAACTAGATTTTTTTGAGCCTTGGGTTTTATAGCCATGAAATCAAACATAGGTTAAAAAAAGATGAATGTTGTTCATTTGTGACCATACATCTTCATGTTTTGAAATTTAGAGAGATGTGGTCTTCCTCTTTTTAGAAGCAGGTTTAAGTATTTTAGAATTAGTCCGTTGTTAGTAAAAGGCCGTCGTTGCACCTGAGGTGCTATTGTTGATCAGACACTGGTTGCTTTTATTTGCTTTGGGTTGTCAGTTATTTCAAACGATGGGTTGGTAGCAATCTCTACACAGAAATTGCAGTAATAACATCTCTAAATTATATGTGAGTTAACTTGGGAAATAAATGTTCCCATGTTATTAGTTTTCATTTTCACAGAGTGCTTTGCTCAGCCTTTGGTATCACAACATCCTGCACCAGCTTGCTCCCTCTGCACCTCGGGTCTGGAGCACTCATGGGACCTATGCATCTTACCACCCCACAACCCCTTTGTTGGATATCAACAGTGTTGAAGTTATCTATATGTTGCATCAGAAAACATAGGGATGGAGACTCCCTCCATAAAGTGCAATGAGGCCAGGGACTTAGGAAAACCCTCTGTGTGCTTGATATTTTCAACAAGGATCCTCAAGCCTTTCCCGGACTTGAGGAATCTGTTTCTCTCTCCTGCTTGCACGATTCTCGTTTTTCTCTCTTTACCCCTCCCTTCTAAACACACTCCCACACATCTGATAGTTATCCAATCCTAAAATTAGTTTTACACACGTACATTATTCCCCAGTGCCCAGTATTTCAAAAATGTATTAAATTTAATGTCTTGTCCACAATACATGTGGTATTAAGGCTTCAGAGAGTATGGAAGTTACCCAGCAGCAGATGATAATATTCTGAAACTAGTAACACTTTTTTGGTTTATTGACTTTTTATCTGTTTGTTCTTATTTTGTAACTTAGATGTGAAGCTTTTCTTTCATAATTATGAGTTCTAGTGCTTATCTAAAACAAGACTTTGATTGTAATAGTCTTTTATAGCCCACTCATAGTTTAAACTCTAGAAGATTTGGAAAGCAACCTCTTTGGTGCCTTTGTCTTCCTTTTCTGCCTACAGAGTGATTTGGATGAAAGGAGTAAGTAGATGGGAATACTACTCAATCTTGGTAACATTTTAGCAGTATATGTTCATTTTCTTCCATCTTGGTTAGCTTTCTAATTATTGTTCCATGAACGAGAACTTCAGAACCTTAATGTATTTAACATAGAACATCACATCTCAGCCTCTGCACGTTCTTCTTATAATTTACTGGAATTTCTTCTTATAATTTTCTTATAATTTCTTATAATTTACTTAGCAGAACTGGAAGTCCAGTTTTTGCTTAATTACCTGACATACAATCTACTCAAAGGATGTGTTCATAAATAAGTAAGGGCGTTAGCTCTTCTCTTCTGTTGGCTCTGAGACAGTAACTTGGCTCTTCAGGGTCTGCAGAAGGGGACCTGAGGCAGAGGGTTGGGATGTCCCAGGTAGAGGCATTCCAGGGCCTGGTGATGATGGCACTCCGCTGGAGGAGCTGGAGTCCCAGGTGCAGCACACACCATCTCTGTGACCTTGACGCCTTACCTGTTTCCTCACGTATAAAAATGAGACAGTAACACCTTCCCTAGTTGGTTGTTGCAATCTGGTGATAATCGCTGCTTGGCACACGTAAGTGGTGAAGAGTTGTTTGCTCGCAGTAGTTTAATTCTAAAATTAGAGAAGAGATGTATGTTCTGCCGAATGCTGCTATGGCTAGGAACCAATCGTCTGGACTCCCTGTGTTCCCTAAACCCATAACTAGTAGATTTCCTTATAAATCTCGTTTCATTTTTCATCCCTTTGCTGGTCTGTATTTTGGTTTGAAACTCTTTTATGTGCCTATCAAATATTTTCAACTCTCTTTTACATATTTTCACATTGGTACTCCCACTCCCTGAAATCACAAGCTCTGCATTAGTGAACATTTTACCCTACCTACTCTAGAGCAAATCTCAACCCTTTGACATTCTTCTGATATTTCAGCAATCAGGTTCTGTTGACTCATTACCCGGCATATAACAAGTACACCTTGAATATAATACATCCATAAATTAAGTCGAGTTCTGCTGTCTGAGTTACTACTTTTGGTTAGTGATACTATAATAGGTTTTTTTTTGTTTTGTTTTGTTTTTTCAGAGATCTCCACTTAATACTGGCACCTCTGACTTCTTCCTTGCTCTCAAAATCTATAACCAGGTGGCAGGTCTAGAAGATTCTTTGAGACATGGAGCACATGTGTGCCCTATTCAGCTGCTCACCTGGCCATGCTTTGTAGCATCCTCCCTCCTTTCTTCTTGTTTCTTTCTCTTTTAGCCCATCCTGTTTTCTGTCCCTGTTGTCAAAATGCGTAGCTTTGATCGTGTTTTCTTTCCAGCTCTAAATCCTTCCATGAACTCTCACTGCTCAGCATATGTAGTTTAAAACCTTTAGTTTTGCATTCAGTTCCCTCTCTGAGCCCTACATGCCAGATAGACTTGCCTACTCAGGGTTCCCAATGCAATTCTCCCTTTTTCCCAGTTCTGCTTTTATTTACACTGTGACTCTCAGTGGCATGATTAGGTAAGGACAGAAGATCAGTGTACCTTGCTCATCATGAGTCAAGGGAGCATGGCTGAGGGCTGAGGATAGAGAGAGGCAGGGTTGGGGTAGCCAGCCTTTGGAGGCCACAGTGACTTGTTTTATCTTCACCCTAATGGGGCTTTAAGCAGCTGAGGAATGCATAGAGATGGTTAAAAGACCATGCTGATGGCTAGGTTGAGAATAGACAGGAGGGCACGAGTGGAATTGGGGAGACCAGCTCCAAGCAGTACAGTGACCTAGGCCAGATGTGTTGGTGGCATGAGATAAAGTGCTGGCAACTTGGGGGGAGATGGACATGCGTGGGGCTTATTTTGAAGGTGGAATAGATAGAATATTTTAGCTGAGGGAAGCCTCAAGGATCACTTCTGGGCCTCTAATTTTAGTAACTGGAGACTAATGAAGCCAGTGACAGAGAGAGCAGCCTGGAGGGGAGTACTTTATTCTGGAATCACTTGTAGCCTTGCCTCTCATGTGGGGTACAAAAATAATGTTTGCTCTTACTATGTTCATGTATTTATGGTATCTGAGTACATTTGGAGTTCTCTGAAGACTAAAGGCCATGTTTTAACTACCCTCTTTCCTACAGCTATATTATAGTGCCTTAGTCACTTAGCCACGAGAGATGGTGAATAGATGTTTGATTCATAGCAATTGTGCCGTACAGGTTTTTGTATCATGTGCATGTTGTGATTATTTGAAAAAAGCAATTAAAGAAATTGGAGAAAATTTCCATTTCATAGGTCATAAATGAGAAATGAGGTTTTTGTGAAAAGTTCCTTCATATTCATTATTACTTAAAATGACTCACAGAAGACTTGGGGTTATGCAGGTGGTTCACCATCTCCTGGGGCCTCCTCTCTCCACAGATGTGCACAGGAAATTACACCTTTGTTCCTTACATGGTGACTCCACATAACAAGGTCTACTGCTGTGACAGCAGCTTCATGAAGGGGTTGACAGAGCTCATGCAACCCAACTTTGAGCTGCTTCTTGGACCCATCTGCTTACCGCTTGTGGATCGTTTCATTCAACTTTTGAAGGTGGCACAAGCAAGTTCCAGGTAAAGTTTGACAAAAATGCCATGATGATAATGAAGTGTTATTCCACTTCACTTGCTTCTACATCTTCTCAAAGAACTAGGGGAAAATGTGTCTTGTTCTCTATGGATAAAATAGAAGCCACATAGTCCAGATGTTATCATTTTACCCATAGGATAATAACTTGAAATCAGCAAAACCAACACAAAAACCAGATTGCCAGTTGTATTCTAGTAATGATAGAGGTGAAAATCTATTTAAACTAAGAAACAGAATTGGAGTATATGTTCAGGGATTTCTAGTATAGAGTCAAGAATCCTGCAAAAATTGCTGGGAACTGGCCCTCCATGGTGGCTCAGCGTGTTAAAACACAGCACTAAGACGCTATAGCCACTTCAGCATGAGTTCTATCCCCACCCCGGGAAGGTGACCACATGGTGTGGCAGACCTCTCCTGACCCACCCACTGCTCCCCTCAGCAGTGTGCTTCATTGACCTGCCTGTTCTGCTCTCCACTCTATCTCTGGTGAATCCTCTCACCACCCCTGCACCTCTGGCCTGTACCTCAGTTCTGTATGCATAAATAAATAAATCTTAAAAAAAAATGCTGGGAACATTTTTATACCTCCGTTAAGAGCAGCCATTTATATTAATAAATGTTAATGTTGAGTAGAAAAGTAGAGATTACATTATGTTCAAATCATAGGTGTACCTACTTTATTTAGTCTTACAGCAATAAAAATAAAATAGAAAGTTTGGGCATTTTAAGTGGTATATTGGAGGTTCTGGGAAAATTCACTGTGTATATTTTAATTGTTTCTGAAGCAAGACAAAGTGTTAAAATAAATATGCTTTTCAAATTTCTTGAAGTGAGATATATGTGGCGTTCCTTCAATGCATCTTAATGAACTGAGTGCCACTGACGTTGCAAATGTCATTCATTTCCTTATAAAATCGTTGCCTTTCATTGAAATCCTTTCTACTGTTAACCTTTGAAATGTGTATTTTCTTATCAGCCAGTATTTTCGGGAATCTATACTCAATGATATCAGGAAAGCTCGTAATTTATACACTGGTAAAGAACTAGCAGCTGAATTGGCAAGGATTCGGCAGCGAGTCGATAATATTGAAGTCTTGACAGCTGATATTGTCATAAACCTGTTACTTTCCTACAGAGATATTCAGGTGAGAAGATGCTTAAAGTAAAATCTTTGTCATGAACCATGTTGGTGAGTAAGGGAGTGTTAACATCAATTTCAGTTAGCTAATGAACTGTTTGTGTTCCTACACACAGTTTTTTATTGACTGTCCTGTTTTCCATTCTGAGATTTTCATAAAAAGACTCATGTGATTTAATCATCAGTGATTATGAAAGATTTGTATGGTAATGTTCTAAACTTTTTTCTCCAAAAGAGCAAGAAAAATCTATACACGTAGCTAACCCATAGACAGTTCACTCTATTCTGTTAGCCTGAGGCACACCTATCAGTCAAAGAGAGAAGGCTTTGTTTTGGCATATAATTGAAATTTATAGAGCTTTCTGGACATCTCTTACCCTTGAAATTGATAGTGCTAGATCTGACTAGCCAGAAGCAAAAAATAAGGAGTCAATTCATAATAAGGGTAAGATATAGAATGTAAATGTAAAACACACTAACACACCCTATTATTTTGTTATCTTAAAATTTTTTAATGTGATAAAGAAGAATGACCTCATCTCTAAGTTGGGCAATGCTATTAAATTTTTACAGCTAAATTTAAATGATACCTGGCTTCTTATTCCCATACCCAGCCATTTAGGTCCATGTAAACCTTTATGTGGACAACAGAGATTGACATGTGTAGGGAGGTGTACCACCTAGGAGCCCAAGGACTAGAGTTGCTTTTACTCTTGTTGAAATGAAATCATTGTGTTGCTTAGAAATTCAATCAGTTGCTCTATGTGTTTGAAATTTTGGAAATCATTTTCCTGAAAGCAATTGTTAGGACACTTCATGCCAGAATCTGACTTCATGAAGAACTAAACACCTGTATTTGGGCACATTATCTTGTTAAATGGATTTTTTGTTTTTTGGGTTTTTTTTTTGGCCAGATATGGTGATTATGTCACTCATGCTTTTACTCTATATAATCAAAAAACACAATATTAAAGAAAAAAAACATTTCTTCCTGGTTCTAGGTTGTCCAGAGTATTTTGTGAATACCAGTTCTCTTTGTTAATGCCCTTCTCGGGTTCAGTTAACTGGTAGTCATTTTACTTAGAACTTTCTCCTAATGGTTTAATTCTGTCTTATTCCCTGATTCTTTGAAAGGACTATGATTCTATTGTGAAGCTGGTAGAGACTTTAGAAAAGTTGCCAACCTTTGACTTGGCCTCCCATCATCATGTGAAGTTCCATTATGCATTTGCACTGAATAGGTAAGAAGTTCCCTTCTATCATGCCCTAACAGATTAGTATTTAACCTCAGGTTCTTTCTAGGGTATGTTTTTGCAATAGCATGCAACTACTGTATTAGAATATAGCCTGAACTGATCTACAGTAGACACAAAATATAAAAAAGTAGCATTATGATTTTTTTTTTTTTTTGTCAGTAAAAAAGGCTGTCACTGTATTCTTAACACTTCAGTTTCTCTGGGAGAGTCGCTATTTGCTACTCATATACTTTAGATTTCTTAAATTATGTAAATGTGATCTTTAGGCAGATTTACTCAACACCAGATGATTGTTCACCCAAATATAAACTAGAGTAAGGGCAATTATGTCTCCAGGAACATATTCCTAAGCAGAGAATATTTTCACCAGAACAGCTCTGGATATAGTTATAACCAAAACTCTGGTGCTCACATTTCACATCACATGTCTGTGAATCCGCTAGGGCAGGGACTGACTTCCCCAGTCTTGTGTCCAGGCGTCTATGCACATTGCACATGACCTAATGCCATTTTATGCTTGTGTCACCTCAGAGCGTCACCTGTGCTGCCACCATGGAGGCATCTAAAGCATCGGCCTGTCCAGAGTTTAGTTGTGTTGCTGTTCTCGTCCAGTTAAAGTTAATATAAATGTAATTACCACGACTGAAGCGAATGATGAAAAGAATAGGAGAGGGGCCATGTCATCTGAGCAGTTAGCATATGTTGCTGGAAGCTCGATCATCCTTATTTCATATAGAAGAGGAAGCAGAAGCTTGGAGAGGTTGATTGTATTGTTTCTGCAACTGTCTTAAAACTATTTTTTTTTCTCACTATCTTAGGAGAAATCTCCCTGGAGACAGAGCAAAGGCTCTTGACATTATGATTCCTCTGGTAGCAAGCGAAGGGCAGGTTGCTTCAGATATGTACTGCTTAGTTGGTCGGATCTACAAGGATATGTTTTTGGACTCTAATTTCATGGACACTGAAAGTAGAGACCACGGCGCTTCTTGGTAAGTATATTGGATATAAGCTAGATAAGTCCATGACATTAAAAAAAGTTGCTTGCAAATGAATATTAAATTAATGTTATTATCCTTTAAAGTGTGTATTGTGAACTAAATAAAATCTTAGGTTTTATAGCATTAGTAAACAATTTTGATAAGTCATTTAATATAGCTGACTAAACTGAAAGAAAAGAAAATAATTTAAGAAAACGTAATTTTAATGCTGGTTATGTATAATATAGTAAATCCCTATGTTAAGAATTTATGAAAGTTTATACAAAGATAGTAAAAAAGACCTCAATGAATAGAAACATATACTAAGCTTGTAGATGAGAAGACTTGTCATTACAAAGATGTTAAATTATCCTCACCAGGATATAATTTGACAAACTGATTCTGTACTTTATTTGAAAAAATAAAGGTCAAGAATAGGCGAGATCATTTTAGATAATAGGGTGGGGGATTTACTCTACTATATAACAAAATATAATAATTAGTATGAATGGAACATAGACAACACTGGACAGAAAAACCAGGAACATACTAAGATACACACATGAGATTACATTTGTGATGCAGTAGGCTTAGTGCATCAAGATGGAATTCTCATATACTAAGAAATTTTGTTTATCTGATTATAAAACTAATGGGAAATTGGATCTCTACTTGAAGAGGCATACACACACACACACACACACACACACACACACACAAATTAAAACCAATGAATTAAAGACCAAAATATGAAAAGTACACTTTAGGAAAAATATTTTAGAATAAGATACACCTAAGTACTTGTGATTTTGGTATAGGAAAGAATTTCTTAAATGAAGCTTTACAGTACTGTAATCCATAAAAGGAAGAGATAGGGATACTGGAGTACATTACCACTGGTTTCTGTTCATCTGACTCTGGTGTTTAGAAGTGGCAAAGTAGGTTTTGCTGCACTGTCCCTACTGAAAACACCATTAGTGAATGTTTGAAAAACATTTTTTAAACAAAAGTTTGAAAACACCAAAGAGTGATTAGAAGTAATTAGAAACTGGAGATACTTTGATCTTTGCATGAAGGACCAATCTCACATGTGTGAGATTCATGTTTAAATGGCTTTTACTTTGGGGTGTTCTCTCACCTGAAGGGTTACAGGGCAGGGGTAACTCAAGAGAAAAATCAGTCTTAGTGATTTGAGGAGTCAATTTGTGCCTGCAAAAGTGCCTGGAATTGGGTGGAATATGCAGATGGAACCGCAGAGGGAATGCTCCAAACCATTCTTTCCTGACTGCTGGAATTTGCATGTGTAGGGTAAAACTCAAAGAAGTCCAGCCAGAAAATAGTAACTGGAAGACTAAAGTAACTGAACAGAGAACTTTGGCAGCTGCCAAGTGCAATAGAGACAGACTTTGGAGCCTTACCAAGTTAGAGGAGCTTGATAAACAGTTGCGGAGGCTCCAGAAGCACCAAGCCTTAGAAATTTTTAAAAAATGCATCCAGGGTTAAGAAAGTGCACTAAAACTAATAGAAAGCCAAAGCTGTTAAAACCTAAAGCCAAGCCTCCACGTGGGAAACCATCAATCATTTTATTTGCTTGTTATAACAAAAGTCAGTAAACTTAAGAGGAGAGTAAGAGAATCCGAACTTTCTTCAACACATCATAAAAATGCCTAGTGCACCATCAGAGACTACTAGATTTGTGAAAAGTAGGAAAAATATTAATCAGTAGAAATAGACCCATAGAAAACACAATTTTGGAATTATCAGACATGGAAATTAAAATAGCAAAGATAAAATGTTAAACTACTGGAAAAGATGACATAATGAATGAAAATATGAAAACTTATAGAAGATATGTGGTCACTGGAATAGAAAGTAGAAATGAACCATAGGATATCTGATGTAAAAATTTGATGAGATGGGATTAACAGTAAGTAGGATACAATATGAAGAAGGGCCTATAAACTTGAAAATGGGTTATTAGAAGTAGTTGAGATAAAAGCAGAAGAAAGGAAAAAGATTGAGAAAAAATTAATAGTCTCAGTCATTCATGAAATGGCATTGAATGCTTTAAAACACACTACTAATTAGAGAGATAGTTGGAGAGAAGATACATGATGTAGCTGGAAAACTATCTGAGGAATTTGTGGTGAAATATTACCCAAATCTGTTAAACAAATGAACAGACTAAAACAATCACATGTCTAGGAAGTGCAGAAAAGACTCAAATGGGATAACTAGAAAAGGAAAACCATCCTTCAGAAATTCAGTTAAATAGCTATGAAACAACATATAACATATGTCATAAACGTAACCGGGAAAGAAGACAGAATGCAAGGAAAGAGGGGGTGCTGACCCCTCATACTAAGGTAGCCCATGGCTTTCTGAAAGTGCTTAAGAAATAATGGGCATCCAGGAATCCTATATCCTCTGATGAAGTCTTTCAAAAATGAGGACAAAATACATTTCTAGATAACACATTCTAAATAATGTGTTACGTGCAGAACTCTAAAATAAGAAATGTGAGAGGAAAATCCTTAGGTTGAAGGGAAGTGATAACCAAATGGAAATATGGTTCTGTAGAAAGGATTGTAGAGCACTGCAAATGGTAAATATATGAACAAATACAGAAATATCATTAGCAAAGGGAAAAAATAAGCCTCAGACCAGGAGTAATGAACATAGAAGAAACCAACATAGGAGTTATATTCAGTATACAGAAATAATTTAAAAAATTATCTTAAAACAATGCATAGAACTGGTTTATAGGCCAGAGGTCTGGGGGGGAGGGTGAGAAGATTCACCGGAGACTGAGTGGGGAACAGAACAGACTAAGTGGAGCAGTGGATTATACAGGAGAGGTCTGCTACACCATAAGCTCCTGGACAGGCCAGGAGCCACAGTGGTGATGGCATGATGGCACTGAGAGTTAGCCATTCTTATACCGCCAGGGAGGCCCTACCTTAAATAGCTTAAGAAAAAATATTGAAATGTGTATAGGATAGGTCATTTACAACAGGTTATCAGGTTATTCACAAAAGAATGGGAATGACAAATAGCCAATAAATGAATTCTAAAAACATACCCCCCTAAAAAAAATGTTTTATCTTGAAACTAAAGTAATAATATAGCATTTTACATATTGACATGAACAAAATTAAATCTAACAATATCAGTTGTTGGCAAGGATGCTAGGAAAATAGGAGTCCTAATGTCCCGCTGGCTTTGGTGGACATTTTAATGACCATTTAAAGATTGGGTTCAGTATGCTGTATACCAAAGAAAGGAAAGGAGTAGAAATGGATCATGGAGTGAATCACATGAAGCTGGAAGAATTTTTAAAGGATTTTATTTCTTAAGACTGAACAGTGGGTGTATGGGGATGTTGCTTATATTATTCTTTTGTACTTCTTAGTATTACCAAAACATTCCTAAAAATATTCTTTGGTAAAATGTGTTAAAGAAGGTTAGTTGAGTTCAGGAGTTCCTGCATGATAGCCATAATTTTTTTTTTTTTAATTATGAAGCAAGTGCAATATTTTTCAAACTTTTATCTTTAACTGAAAACAAGTGTACCTGAGGGTGTGAAGAAAAAGGAAGAGTAATTTGCTTTTGGTGGTGCATAAATCTGTGCAAACTTTATGGTAAACAGCATGGACAGACCTTTAAAAAAAAAAAAAGAAAACTATGGTGGTGTCATATTCAGCAGTAGCACTCTGGATATTTATCCAAATAATATGAAAAGGTTTATGCTCCCCTGTGTTTATAGCAGCATTATTCACAACAGCCAAGACATGGAATCAACCTAAATATCTACTGATAGATGATAAGGTAAAGAAATTGTGGTATGTTCCTCAATGGAATAATACTCAGCTATTGAAAAGTCTGAAATAATGTTTCTTGGAGCAACTTGGATAGATCATGAGGTGATAATAACAGAAATAAGTCAGAAAGCAAAATACAGCTTCTAGATGGTCTTACCCATTTGTGGAATATAAATAAGCCAAAAAAAAAAAAAGGGCAAAACAACAAAAATAACTCTTAGACTCTGTGAAAAATATGACCCCAGATACACAAGGAGTTGTGTATGTAATTAGGTATTAAAAAATAAAATTTTGTTATCTGTGACAACATGGATGGAATAGAAAAGGGCTATGCTAAGCAAAATGAAAACAAAATACCAGATGATTTGCCTCATGTGGAACAGAGAGGAACAAATCAAAGGAGGAGAAAAGCTAAACCAAAGCAACCCTAGAGATCTAACTGTAGACTGAAGCGCACGGGGGTGGGGGAACAACTAGGGGAGGCGCTCAGTGGGAGGTGGTGGACATGGTCGTGTAGCATGTGTCTGAAGAGGGGTGAACTAGGGCCCACAAATCATGGAAAAGTTGTAAACCCTTGTTAGCTCAGTGAAAATGACACAATGAGAATACAGGACTTCGCAGTGAGGGAAGACGGGAACTGGCAGAGGGCAAGCGAGGCACATGACCATGTTGAGGTGGGAACTCATGAAATGATGTAAAGGAATAGAAAATCAATGCAATTTGATTTTAAAAATCTCATATAATTATAGGGGCACTGAAATTGGGATAGCAGGTTATAAGCAGGGCAAACATTTGAGAAGAGTGATTTCCTAGATCCCTCATGATGTAGGAAAAGATTTAAAATTTTAAATTGAAGATTTAAAATTGTAGCATACATTTTTATTACAGCGCAGAGAATTTGACAGTTTCTCATAACCAAGTCTTTATTTTTGTTTTTACAAAAGAGGGGTGTAGCTAGGCAGCCTTTTTGCGACCAGGTTTACAATTCAAGAAAATTCTTAATTGTAAGAAAATTGGAATCTGCTATTTGGGAAGCTTGTACACCAGTATGAATGCTTTGATGTAATGGTAATCCTAAAAGTCTTGTTCTTGTGGTCAGTAAATTTAAATAGAAAAACATGTACTACGAAGTTAGTGTGCATTGTGTACAGAAATAAAATAGAAGTGTTTCCATATTTGAAAACAAACAGT